CACAAATAGGCCTGACCGTGACTCACAGTGACAGATTGTAAACAACACTGGCCAGTTATAGTAGATGCTGAGGACAGAGGCATGGGATAGACAACTGTCTTGTGTACAATCTATGTTTTGACAAATTAATTTTCAAAGTATGCAAGCATATGATTCGCTCATTGTATTGAGTCAGTGAAAAGTGATTCTGCATCTAGACACTTTGATGACTTGGAACCCTGCTCATGCTAAATATTATATGACATGTGTGCAGTCACAGAGGAAGAGTTCGGTTTGTGTAGCATGACTGGTATGCATGGAAACATTAGGCCCCAACTGATATAATTGAAAAACCATGCAAATCATGGGGCGCTACAATAGCATGTCAGGTAGGACTATTACATTTAAATCATAGGGCTGAAATTTGACCAAAACTTGAACTGTGTGTATTTTGTATGTGAGATTTCTTACTTCCAGACTTTTTTATAGGTGCTTTTTTTGTGTGACTGGTTTAGGGGAAATTAGATTAAGGCTAACATGAATCAAAATATCCTTGTGCAACATGCTGGCAAAGTAATTAGCAATAATGATGCAGAAAATTCCCTCCCTAACTGAAAATACAATTAAACATTGAACTTTTCTTCTCCTAGTACACTTACTATAACCCACTGTTAGTTTGCAATGAGAAAGAAAAAAATCCTGTTGGCTGAAAGTATCCATGCATGAAGTTACCTGAGGCTTTTGTCTGTACACTTAGAGAGCCCAATTGTCATCCTATTAAAATCACATGTATCAGGGAATGGGATTTTTTTTGTCCATGGCAGTTTTTTCCAGCCTCTGGATAATTATGTGTAGTCACTTAACCGTGCATCACCTTAATGTTTTCTAATTATGATTTCCCAAGGTCCTCTTATGCAATTGTTCGTACCCCATAAACTGTGAGATAGTGTGTTAAATCTACAAGGTTATTCACAAAAGGGTGAAGAGTTTGGAGAAGGCAGGAGAAGAGAACAATCTAGGACAACATAGCTGAACTGGAAAGTGAGCTGAATTGTAGAATTTTTCCAAATCGGCTATTTTGGCCTAGATTGTTCACTTCTCCGGCCTTCTCCAAATTCTTCACCCTTCTGTGAATACCACTGCTAGAATTTGATCCTTCTGCTAACTACCTCCGGTGATGACAATTTACATTCTGGGAAAGGCTGCCCTGTGTGTACTTTAACTGGTAGATGCAGTGAGTGGCACTGTAAATAGCTGTGGTTTAGAACTTAAGGGGAATCTAAAGTGGTTCTGTAAAAATGTCTTTTATTTCATATGTTCAGGACTAAAAATCAAATTCCTAAAAATATCCTTTTAAAAAAAAAAGTTCAGTAGATATAAAACATTGCATATAGATATTTTCTGTTTTCTATAGCTCCGCTGAAAGTACAACAGCTGAGCAGTTTCACATTTCCCTCTTAGCATTGTATCTTAGAGAGATAGTTACAGTAAGAGAAGCTACCACTGTGCCTTCTCTTTCTAAAGGTGCCCATACACCTTATGATTATGGGCCGATTTTCGTATGCGATCGCATTTTCATCCGATTTTCGTAAGGTTGATGGGCAGCGTACAACCGCAAATACTGTACAATCGATTGACTTTTGACTATCCGGCAGGTTAGAAAACGTCGGTTGATCGTACGATTTTCGCAAGGTTGGTGGCGTTTCCATACGTCAAAAATCCGTACCATTAACACTGCTACTGAGCAAACGAAAATACGTGCGGTCGATTACCGCAATTCGTCCAGGTGTTTATTTTAACTACAGCTGATTGAACCTTGCGATAATCGGGGCAGGATGGCAAAGGGGATCGTACAGCTCCTATAAACCCATATAAACCATACAGCAACTTATAGCTCTGGTCCCTCTGAGATGATAAAAACGTGAAATCTGATTGGATCTCGTGGGTTATTGCTCTATTAATTGGGCACTACTTTAGGAAATGAGCTTATTTGAGAGAACAGAAGGTAATATTTTATGTTAAGTGAACCTGCCAGGCCAGCTCATGCATGTCCCTATCAAATTCTGAGTGAATGGCAAGTCATCTATACTGACACTGTGGTGGTTCATTTCCTCCCTCTTACATAGTTGACTCTTATAGGAAAATGAACAGTGGAAAAAGAAGGTAAAAATAATTTTAAGTGCACTGCAATAAGAAGGATATGAACATATAATTTAAGTAAAATAATTTATAGGACTATTTTGGAACTCAGTATGTATGCCAGGAAAATAAATATGCAGCCAGAAAAATAGTGAATTCATCAGCACAATGTCAAACAAGGGGAAGTTATTAATGGCAAATACAGCTGCTAAGAGGTAAAATGTATGAAGATGCTATTTTTGTTCTTTTAATTTATAAATGGGCTCAAGGCATTGTCTGACTCTTTGGTGCTGATTTATAAAAATGTTAAAGCTAATCTGATTGCTCAGAGTGAGGTTGGTGGCCCAATAATCACTAGTAGTGCTCCCAGTTCAAGCATACCTTGTGATGATGGAGCAATTTCTGACTTTATAGGGAGCCGTGAGAAGCCTCTCTAGCTAGAAATGATTATTCTACAGCTAGAACACATAAACAGATCTGATTCAGCACTCTTTTAAAGAGAAAAAGAAAGCTTGAAAGTTATAGGAGGGTGTATTTATAAATCATTCACAATCATTCGCTCTGCAAACTTCTGATTTTTACTTTCCCTCTGCATTATGGACTTTAGAAGAAACTGAGGGGCATACGATTTCCTATGCTCCTGGGCTCCATCTAGTAGCCATAATGGGGTGAGTTTGTATTTTTGTGTGGCTTTACAGCAGGGTATGACCTAAAGAGATAGCTGCTAGTTTATAGGCAGCCTAAGTGTCTCACGTTTCAAAGTTTCTTTTGTTTTAGAATAGGAATGTTAGTTTGGTTAGAGTGGAATAGAACATCTGACACTGAGATCTTACAGCACCTATTTATGGAATGCACTGCTGTTACTAAACACGCATAAAGCCATTGAGAGAGTTGACAGGTAATGTACAATCAAGGCACGCTGTACTGTGTGAGTGCTGTAGCGTGTGTGTTTTGTTGCCAGAGGCATGATAATGGCAGTTCTGGGATTAAATGATATATTGCACAATGCATTTACATGACTGTGTTAAAAACCTTAATGCTGCTTAAGTAAGAGAACATAGAAGAAGTTTACTGATAGCTGTCCCTGCTGACTTTCAAAGTCAGAAACAATGAAAAAAAACTTATCCCTAGCCCCCATATGCCCCGACTCCTATCCTTAAGCTAACACATAAAGTGGACCTGAACTCAGAAAAGGTAGAGAATTTCTGGTTATTTAACCTTGTTATGACTACAGTCAACAAAGACTACATGTTATTCTACTGAGCAGTGTCACATAAAAACACAGTTTTTGGTGTGTTTTATTTTATTGAAGAAGTTAAATATATGCACGCTCTTAGTTTTAGGTGGTTCTGATTATATACAACTCAACAATTATAGCAAGAAAATGGTTAATACTAAGTAACTTGCATCTAGTATACCTTAGGTGTTTAAAGTGGAACTAGGGCCTACATATACTTACCTCCCGTCCAGCGATGTGACATCCATGGAGCTCCAACATCTTTGCCTGGTCTTCTTTTGGGGTTTTACATCTTAGGCCATCTTGATTGGTTGGTCTGGAGTGGCTTAGCTCTCACACATGCGCACTAGATTTATTTAATCAGGACACTAGGGCATATCGAACTGCCCATGTGCATACATTCTAAAGAAGTTTATGAACAGGCAGATAATAAGACTTTATTGCAGAAGAGACTAAGGGGTCTACTTATCCCAAAAAAATGATAGCTGTTCATCCAGTGAAACTGCACATACATTCTTTCTCTGGTAAATAACCAGAAGTCACTCATTCATTTTCACACAATGTATTAAGGCAAAATGTAATGTTCTTAAAGTATTTTCTCTTCTGGTTCAATGTTCATAGTCTATTTTTTTTTTGGTTGAATATATTTGAGCTATTGTTTTAGGTTATTTTCTTTTCTGGTCGAAAGGTCTTAGGGTATTGGGGAATGGTACATTTGCCCTGCGACAGACAATTAAAAGTGACACTAAACTTAGGAGTTAAATCTTAAAAATGCATTCAAGTACCCTAACAACAAAAATGTATCGTACTTGTGTATCATTTGACTGTAGATCCTCAAATCATCTCTCAATTGGTGCTCACACTGTCCTTCCTTCTGGAGGGTTGCTACTTTTGTTCCCCATTGGTCCATGTGTGTGTTTTAAAGTAGTCACTACTCCAAGCTCTCTCCCCTGATGGACTGCAATTTAACATTTAGTTTACTAATTTGTATTGAGATTGTAGTGGATCATGGGAGAGAGCTTGGAGTGGTGGCTACTTTACAACACACACAGGGTCCATGGGGAACAAAAGTAGCCAGAAGGAAGGACAGTGTCAGCACCATTTCAGAGATGATTTGAGGATCTACAGCTGAGTGATACACAAATAAGATACATTTTTTATTAATAGTTAAACTACCTGAATGCATTTTTAGGATTTATGGGGGGGGCGGCAAAATGCACCTTCGCCTGAGTTGGCAAAAATCCTTGCACCGGCCCTGATTTAACTCCTGAGTTTAGTATTACTTTACACATCAGGAAATAACATTTCACACATGTGAAAACTTTCACTAGGATAATCTTTCTGATTTTTGGATGATTAATATATGGATTTTTCATGAATGCTGATACATTCTTTTTTGGGAAAGGGGAAAATTCTGCTTTAAATTTAGGAAGCCAGAAACATTGTAATTAGACATATATTATCTTTTCTTGATTTGACAGAAGCCTAGCCATTCATCTCAGAGCCTTGCATAAACAGTTTTTGAAATTTAATTACAGTATTTAGCCAAAGTGACTGTTACCTAGTTGTGATATTGTAAAATGTTCTCTTCTTGCATTAGTCAATAAAATATTTTGTATTAACTTTTGCTTCCTGTTTGGTCCAGAGGAGATCTGCACACTGGTGATTGCTGAGGCCTTCCCAGAAGATGCAGGAACCTTCACTTGCACAGCAAGAAATGACTATGGATCAGTGACCTGTAGTGCACAGCTCACTATGCTCTCTGGTATGTCCTCGGTGTGATGTCTGCTATGGCTTCCTGAAACTGATGGTGATATCCCTGTCTGTTTTATTTATGTTAATGCTTCATCCATTAAGGTGTCATCCATCAAGATCTCTGCTGCAGAACCAATATGTTTATGTCAAATACACAAAACTAATGAGGTGGAACAAAAAGTATTACTGATAATGTTTTCCCTGAGCAAGGATGGTTCGTAGTGTGAAGGCACTACGAGGAAGCTGGCTACGAGTCTACTGCAGAATGCAATATTTTTTTAATGCTTTGCAAATATGCTGTTTAAATATCTACAAATTATTGTGTAATGTGAATTATTTATTGAATCTTGGTGTATTTTGTGCATTTCCCTTAGATATGTGCAATAATTTAGTGTGAAACTTTGTGCGCAGGAGCTTCCTCTAATAAAGACCAGTCACTGTTGTCCTGTCCTTGTGCAGAGCGACTGGTCTTATACCCGCCCTCCTCCTGTAGATTTTGCAAGCAGATTGTAACACATGCTATGTGCAGCAAAGTTATGCAACCCCTATGTTTAAAAGGTAATATCTGGATTTGCATTTGGTGCACATAAGGTGGATTTATATCCTTTGTGGCTACTAAAGCATACAATAAAATGAAAATCTTTGTGCCCAGAGCTCAACCTTAAAAGAGAACTATGGTGTAAGTGTTTTTACCCATAGTTCTCTTTAGGGTCACGGGAGGACATATATTAACCTCCTCCATGACCCAAAGCTCAGTATATAGTGGGCTATTGCCCGCGATATACTGAGAGCGCCATAATACTGTCGAGATCCACCCAGCTGCGTGAGTGACAGCTGGCTCTGCCTATCTAGAGACAGAGCCAGCGGTGCCCGTCCTCTTTCCTGTCCGTTCCTCCATTCAGCGCTGGAGGATCGGAGAGGGGTTATGGTACAGTATGGTACTTCTGGAACTGTTGTACTAGTTAAAAACAGCAACGGTACAGATGATATTTCTCTTTATATATTAAACCTACACTGCATCTGTAATACTATAACTATAAAATAATAAATACCCAGGAAAAAATAAAAGTAAGTTAGTATAAAGTCTGGAGGAGATGGCTCATGTGGTAGGTGTATTTGTCTTATGTTTATTGATTGATGTGTTGCATATCATTCATGGGCAATCCATCTTTTATGCTGATCTTGTCATGCTTTTACTTAATCATGTGGGAAAGGAATAGTTTATATATGTTTTCTTTTCTGTTAAGGAATACAAGTGGCAGTGATATCGCGAGTGTCACATTTATTGAAGTGATACTACTATGCAATGAGGCTGATTTACTAAAGGATTTGCGAATGTTCACACAATACATTATGTTAATATTCACTTTAATTATCCAGTCTCAAGCAGATGAAATAAGCCAATAGGGATTTTCTATTCACATGATTGGATAATTAAATTGAATCTTCACACATTTCATCATGTGAAAAGTCTCAGGTCCTTTAGTAAATCAGCCCCCGATTGTGATTTGTTTTAAAACTTCAAAAATGATTGATTTCATAATCTAAGTGGATTGGCTTGTCTCTCTTATCATCTTGATGAAAAATTGAATGTGGTAGATCTTTTGATAGAAGACTACTTGTGATTCCAGCTTCTGCAAATACCAGTTAGAAGAACAAGGCCAGCTGGTAATTTACATAAAGCAATTTTACATACCTGATCCCTGCTCCCCAGCGCTCATCTCTCCCCTCCCCTCCAGCTTATAGACTGCCCCACAACGTCCTTACATTTAATGCAGGACTATGGACCTGCATTACTTGATGACGTCAGCAGGTCACTAGAGCGGAGGGGGTAAGATGCTGCAGGCACAAGTCTTGGAGCTAGCGGGAACCGGGATCAGGTAAGTGCTTTACAAAGGTCCCCAAGACAAAAGCAAGCAGTTAAAGAAGAAATCCAATATTTGTTTTTATCAACCCTTGCAGTGGGGCTACCCCTGAGTGCTAATTTGTGTCTAGGTGCTAAAATATAGATATACTCACCCAATGCTCCATGCCGGCCAGCTGTAACGGCGCTCCCTCCAGCCTGTCTCCCCCTCCCTGCAACTTTGTAATCTTCCTTCAGCGTCTTTAGGTCTATACACTGTGTATAAACGTTGATGATTTACGGGACCGTAGACCTCTGCAGAGGGGGCGGGGGGCACTGAAAGGAACGGTCTAAGAAGAAGCCGGCTCAGAGCATGGGGTGAGTATAACTTTGCTTTTTCAACCTAGACACAAACGAGCAGTCCCCCCTGCAAGAGTTAATAAAGAAAAATTCTGGAGTTCTTCTTGAACCCTTGTAGTGAGGGGGAGTAGCACCACTTTAAGGGGATTTTTGTTTTTTCATTTGAGATAGCCTTTAAACAGCCTCACAAAGCCTACAAATAGAACATTCTTGTTGAATTCAGATTGGCAACCATCCTCTGAGGTTTCTCACACAGATAATTTGCTTTATAACATATTCCCTTTAAAGAGATCAATTTAACGCCATGCATTCGCAGAAATCATGAAAAAAGGATAGTAAAATTTTTTAGTATAACCGATATCTGTTACACGACAGACTAGAAAGGAAAACTCGTTATTTTCTTAGGAACGTGTTTGACACAATGATTGTCTTATTACTGAAACACAGGAAGAGGTTCTGGAATGCGTCCATGTTGTTTTAAGGTGAATCATGTTTTTACCTTGGGCTCTTTGTTCTCTCTCTCACAGCAAATAATGAGCGGACCAGAAGCGATGTGTCAAGTGGAGAGATTAGTGGTTATGATTTCCAGAAGCATTCGTCTCCTTCTCCTATAGCAGCTAAAAGTAGTGGCCTTGAAATGCCATCAAACAAAACTCTGGAGTGTTTTCAGCCCAGCAATCTGGGGTCAAAACCAAAGTTGGAAAGTAGTAACCTGCAACTAAATACTTTGGAGCGGAAAAGCAACGGTGTACACAGTAATAATGGTGTAAATGGTGTTAGCAGCAATCAAGATAGCAAGTATGCCTGTCCCACATCACCTAGCGCATTGGCATCACCCACCAAAGATCCTCCACCAGTGCCATCCAAACCTAAACTGTGAGTACTGCCACCTCTTATTCTGTACATAAGTGGCTAGTGAGTTGTAAGAGAGAAGTATTTAAGGAAACAAACTGAAGCGATATTGTGTGGGGGAAGCCGGTATGATTTTTGGTTTCGTTTACTCCATAATCCCTTTTCGGCATTCATATTCACATGAGAGCCTGTAGCCAGAGTTGGAGCCATTTAACATCATAGTGGCCCACCTGGCATTCGTGCTACTGTGGATTTTCCTATGCCCCTCCCACTTCATGCATTTCCCTTGTGTCACACTAAACAGGCAGCATTGACAGAATTGTGTATACTGATTGCTGTCTGCTTCTCTATTTTGAATACAATGTGTAAAGGCAGTGCATATGCTTCAGCTTTGCAATAACAAGAGAAGATAAGAGAACAAGGCAGAGTAATCAATACCGTACAATAAGATGCTGACATTAAACATAGAGCAGCTTCAATACCTGTATTTAAAATGGTCACCTTTAAAAATGCAATGTCTTTTCAACCAGGCGAATCCCCACAGGGCAGACATAGTATACTAATCATTTATTATATGATTTGAGGATTTAACATTAAATCAAAGGTCTCAGGTTTAGAATGTTCAGTATGCAGTAGTTCACATTAGTTGTTACTAAATAGCAAAGTTTTTAGTGATCAATTACAGTCAGAACTAGTGATCTGTATATATGTTCCAGGTCAGTTATTTAGAAATCAGTGTGATAGCCAGGGAACAAGCATTTTCACAAGTAGAAGGTCAGAAATGGCATCCACCGTATTTCTCGTTTTTCCTCTAGGCTGTCTGTTAAAGGCAGCTTCTTATCAAAGAGCAAGAGTCAACAGGAAACCTACTCCTTATTGACAAATGCATCCATGTCTGAGGCTTGCCATGACTTTAACTCTAATGTGGTCAACTTTTGTAGAGTGAGTGATCACCCATGCTGGATAAATAACAAGCACTTCTGACACTTTGTGATTGCTCATTATCATTCAATTCCCAATTGATTCAAAAAGCAACTTGAATGAGTGCCATCACTTCATGAACTGAGTAGATCAATTGGGTTTCTTTACTACAGGTGTTGAGAATCTTCACACAATCAGTTGTGTATATAGCCACTTCAGGTTTGCAATCACATAAAAAGCAAATTCCTGTTCATTTTGAATACCCTTGAAAATTATATGCAGATAAAATAAGTAAATGGACATTTGCTTTTCACATAATTGGATAATTAGCCTTAAGGTGGCCATACACTTTACAACCATCGCAAGACCTTAGTCTTGCGATGGTTGTAAAGTAATTTAAAAAACGTACAATCTGCCCATCTTGGACAGGCAGATCATACTTGCGATCATCGCAAACCCGCCCCCCTGAGGGGCGGGCTTGCAATGACCGCAATTCTGAACGGGCAGTGTGCGCGTGCGCACACCGGCCCGTGCGGCATTGATCTTACGATCATGCTAAAAACCAGCCGAAAATCGTACAATTCTCGGCTGGTTTTCTAGCATGCTCCTTAGACAAAAGACGTGCGGCCGTACAGTAGAAACGGTCGCACGTCTTCATTCACACTGCACGATTCTCGTACGATTGCGGGATTTCACGCGATTCTCGGTGTATGGGCACCTTTAGTATGTAGAGTATTGTAAATGCTGCCTGGCCTAGAAAAGAGCATGAATGGTCATTAGACCCCTGATGACCTTGCCTTAGTAGTGTTGGGGATTTTTCTTTAGGATATCCCCCTTTCCCTCTACCCCCTGCTACTGAGACTCTCCATAGAGACAAATGGTGCCTCTCCGTGTGCTTCTCCTTTCCCTCTCTAAAGGATTCAAGACAAAACTGCATTGGAGGAAGACAATTGATGGAACAGCAGTTTATGATCATTTACCCTAAACAGCTGCTTGGGTTTTTTATATTATCACAAATATTTATTGTGATGTTTTATTTAATGCATATGAGTCATATGTACACTAACAACATAAATCCTCGAAATGAAGTTACCAGAACAAATATAGCGACATAGCAAAAGTAAAATAGATTATAAATCATTCCCTCTGACAGGCACTATTTACAATGATAGAGGAGAGAGATACTGTTGTTTTCACTCTTCAATACTGTTTATTTAGTGAAAGGAAATTAAAGAGATTAATTAGAGATGATTTAAATCAAAGACATTGCAGCATTGGCATGTGTATCATTTTTATTCATGTTTTTTATAAACTGTGTTGAGGAAAAGCAGACTAAAGCATCCCCTTTCTGTGTTTTTTGCTTCTCGAGTGTCAGCCCATGTCAAGGCTTTTATTGCAGGTTTTATTGTCAGTCTAGAGCGGAGGTTCATAACCCTTCTCAGTCTGGGAGCCAGCTTTCAGGCATGCGGTTTAGTTTTGAATTAATAATTCATTTCCTTTTACTTACTTTTCTGTTTTCTGGAAGTTAAATGTAAACTTTGCTCACAAAACGTTCTTTTCCCTATGGAAGTTTATGTTTAACTAGAATTTCTATATACACGGTAGTAAGTTACAACCAATGGTGTTAAAACAAGGGGAAGGAGCAGGGGCACTTAGCAGGAAGGAACATCCAGGAAGTGACAATAAACTGATTAGATCCTCAAATCATCTCTGAATCTGTGCTGACACTGTCCTTCCTTCTGTAGGGTGGCTACTTTTGTTCCCCATGGTCCTTGTGTGTGTTGTAAAGTACCCACCGCTCCAAGCTCTCTCTCATGATGGACTACAATCTCACGTTTAGTTAGCTAATATGTATTGAGATTGTAGTCCATCACAGCAGCGAGACTTGGAGTGGTGGCTACTCTGGAACTATATGGAGGGCAGCTGTAAGCGGAGCAGCGATCAGGTCTGCACCAGCGCATGCACTAATATAAGCACACAGATAATCTGGCTTCTACCTTTGCCACAGAGGATTTTCTTTATAAATATGGCACTAAGTATGCTGGAATATCATTTTATACAGGGTATTTGTTTTGCAAAAACTTGACCATTCAGATTCTAGCAGTCATCTTTTGTTGTGTTGGTTTATTAATTAAAGTAAATCTGTACTTTGCCTATTCAGGTAAAGCAACTAGATTGCTTTATTCCTCGACTGGATACCCAGCAGCACATACATACTCACTTTGCCTTTACTTCCCTGCTACCCCATTCAGTGCCAGGGGCTGAATGAACTAACGGTAAGGAGCATGTGACTCTCTCAATGTGACAGTGCTGGGCCAGTTGGCAATGTCACTGGAAGATCCATAGCCCCATGTAAGCAGTGACTCTACACATAGGTCACATTCTTCTCTATTGGCTGCTAAACAGAGCAGCGGACAGCAAGGAGAACGTATGAAGCCTATTAATCATGTATATGAACCTGTTGTATTTTCCTGCATAGGCAAAGCATAGGGCATGGCATAACTAACTAGCATCGGCAACACATGGTTTGCTTTAAAACTTTATTGTAATGTACAGTAAATACATATTTGATAAAATTCCATTATACTTTTCTGGCAAAAAACAATCACATCATCTCTAACACCGCTTATTAGGGTACACTGGTCTTCACAGGACTGTGCACTGCAATGCAATTGTTCCTCAGTTCAAGGCAATATCTTTTTTCTATTCTCCCTTCATTGTTTGTGAAAGTAGACAAAAACATATTTTCAGTTCTAATAAGGAGTTTCAAATTTATGTACAAGATCATTCTTCATTATTCAAATGTGTGTTCACATTAGTGCGCCACTATTAATTTCAAAGAAATTGGTTTTCATTGGTTGTGACACCTGAGAGTGCCTTGACCTCCTGCTTATTGTATGAGTGCCTTAATATTGCCTACCCTTACCTGTATCTCTTTTTGGAATACATTCTTGCCTGACAATTCAATACTTCATGTCAGTGGCCAGGCACCACACCACCCATCAGCAGTGAACCTAACTCAGGGACCATCAACTTACAACAGCCATCTAGTAGTTAAAATCTGCCATGATGGACTACAATCTCAATAAGAATGATTAAACTAAATGTGAGATTGTAGTCCATCACAGGCATGAGCTTGGAACAGTGGATACTTTATAACACACACAGGGATGGGGAACAAAAGTAGCCCCCCTCCAGTGTCAGCATGAATTCAGAGATGACTTGATGATCTACAGCTGAGTGATACACAAGTAAGATACATTTTTGTTAATAGTTAAGGTACTTGAATACATTTTTAAGATTTAACTCCTGAATTTAGTGTCACTTTAACCACCGAACGCTGAAAGACGGCCAGACGGGAGTCTCCTGGATGCGGGTGGGCGTCTTTAGACGTCCTTCGTGCTCGCGCCTTATCCCGCCCCCTGGCGGGAAACCGCCAGGATTTTAAACGGCCAGCGATGGCCGTTTACATACAAGTGGTCCGGCGTGTAAAGACGCCCGATCGCTTGTATGATGCAACCCAGGGCGCCCTCCTTACCTCTCGTCGCCGCTGCTGTCCCCGCCACCGCCGTCCCGCGATCCAGGGTGTCCATCCATCTCGGGCAATGTGGCTCTGTGCACTGAGAACGGAGGGAGATCAGTACACGAATGCAGGAAGTGATGTATATTGCATCACTTCCGCATTCCTCTGTCACTCTCCGGTACAGTAACCGGATGGAAGCTGATGAAGCAGATCTGTGCTTCATCAGCTTCTCTGGGGGTCCCTAGGTGACATTAGGGGTCTTAGAGACCCCTGATGTCTCCATAAAGGGGACCTGTTACTGTAATTTGTTATCACATAGGGGACTTCTTATTCCCCTATGTGATAACAATAAAGTTAAGTGGAAAAAAAGTTTTAAAAAAAATTGCTCACAAAATAAATAAAATTTACACACACACAAAAAAAAACCCACAAATTTTTTTTAAAGTCCCCCACATAGATGTGCAAAAATGCGTTAGGTGCGCCTTACACGCAAAAACGACGATTGCTCCAATTATGCGGCACATGTTACATATCGCCGCGAGCGTTGCAGTGGGAGCAATAATTCTAGGACCATTAATCA